CCCCCCCCCCCCCCCCCCCCCCCCCGAACATAAGAGGATCTGCGGTGGAAGTGGTCTCCAGCTACAAGTACTTGGGTGTACACATGAATGACAACCTCAACTGGGGCAACAACACCACCGGCCTGATCAAGAAAGCTCATCAGAGACTCTACTTCCTCAGGTGGCTGAGAAGAGCTGGTCTGGGAAGCTCAGTCCTCACCTCCTTCTACAGGTGTGCAGTGGAGAACATCCTGTGCTACAGTATCAACGTGTGGCATGGAGGCTGCACAGCTGCAGAAAGAAAAGCTTTGCAGAGAGTGGTGAAGGCTGCACAGAAGACCGTTGGAGTCAGCCTCCCCACCATCACAAACATCTACACCTCTAGATGCAGCAAGAGGACCCCCTGCATCATGAAGGACCCCACTCACCCAGTACACACACTTTTTACCTTGCTCCCCTTAGGCAGGAGGTTGAGGAGCATTTCAGTGTAGAACCACTAGACTGAGGAACAGCTTCTACCCTGAAGCTCTTGGCCTCATGAATCCCTAATCAGGATTATCACTGTGAAAAAAAAATCACTATAATAGCACTTGATTGTTGATATGTGCTGCTGACTATCCATATTGTTGATCTTATGCTGCTGATTTAGTTCACACTGCTGTGTTCATTCATGCTCATCTGCTCAGACAGACTCGTGTTTGTGCTGCTGCTGTTCGGCATATTGTTTTTGTACTACTTGTGCTTAGTGTAGTCTTAGTTTAGCATATTTCTTAGTTCATATCTTAGATCATATTATTGTTTTTCTTTACAATTTATAGTTTTGTTGGATGTAACTGGGACCCTGTGTACACAGTTTCATTCCACCACATGTACCACATGTGATGTGAATGACAAATAAAGTAACTTTGACTGGGCTTTGTTCCCCACAAAGGACAGCTGGTCCTCATAATGGGCCAACACTGTATGTGTTGATAAATGGACCTCACAAAGTAACATAAACAAGTACACACAAACACACAGATTATTCACCAAGGATATGTTTCTCTGTAAATCTCAAATGCTTTGTTTCTTGGTGAGTAATGAAACCCACAATAATAATAATAATAATAATAATAATAATAATAATACTGTGTATGTATATTGTCATCATTGTATGTTCCCATACAATGATGAGATTGGCTCTCTGTATTTAACCCATCCAGTGGGCAGCTTTGAGAGCACTCATGGAGCAACTGGGGATGAGGTATCCTGCTCAGAGACACCCTGAGATGTGCAGTGACTGGGGATCGAACCCAGGACCTTTGGGTCCAGAGTCGCCTGCCGCTACACCATCTTGATCCCTCGGCCCTGTGCTTTTCAGACTTGTTGTTGTTGTTGTTGTTGTTGTTGTTGTTGTTGTTGTTGTTGTTGTCGTCGTTGTCGTCGTTGTAACCAGACTAGGAAGTGGTCAAAAAGTGATTAAATCCATTGGGACCAAGTCAACTGCAGTGTTTAGGTTGGTTGTAAAAAAAGTCACAACTCAAGGCATTTAACTAATTCTAACCATTTGAAATCAAACTAGATTGATTCATATTCCTCTTGCTGCTTTTTATTTTTAACATCCATGAAGTTGAAGTATTTTGTTCCATCTATTGTTAACTATTTGGGTCAATTAGTCACTGGCTTTTCAAGCAACTAGCTAATCAAACACTATGAAATCAGAAATGTTAGCCTTTCTCTTCTTAAAACTGGATCCTTGTCTCCTGTTATTTAATAAAATAGAAGCAATACTAAATGATTCCTAAAAATAAAAGCCACAAAATATTTCCTTCCAAATACTTTTTGCATTTTAATGGAGCAATAAAACAAAACATTGACAAATAATTTAACAATGCAAGTCAGCCCAAGAGACCCATAAACTGACATTCACAGTATTACCCTGCCACTGACCAGTAGATTCTGTAATTTTTTTCTTCTTTAGTTGCAATTCAAAAGGTCAAAAAGGGATGTGGCTGTATACTGTACATGTAGCAGGCTGTTTGCATGTTTACTGTTTACAACTCAGTTTATTAAGAAATATGGACCCCGACTTTAACCTCTATCATGACAACAGAAAGAGAAGTCATAAAAGTAAAGACACCTCCAGATACAAAGGTCAGAAAAAAACATGATGAAACAGGAATAACAGACACAACCTGACCAGAACAAACTGAAGGCTCACTGCGTACTAGGTATCTGAAATGATCATTTTTATCGAAGGCACTCGAGGATGACCTCTGAAATCCTGAAAGCAGAAATCTAAAACTGGGCCTGAAGCTAACCACAGCACAACAAAAAAAAAACAAGAGATTAAATGACCATTTTTGTATTAAGTGAAGACGGTCAGTAGTGTGTATAGACTTGTGTGACCAATTCATGAGCAAGTTTATGGACTTCTAAGCCTTGGCTGTAAA